TCTCTCTCTCTCTCTTGTGCGCACGCGCGCATGCAGTTTTTGTGTGTTAAAAAAAAAAAAAAAAGGATTCCAATGGACCACGTCAGATATGAAACCGAATGGAACAGATACTACACTTGATCGTGTTTTTCGGGGGGCTGGGTTGGGGTTGCGTGCATTTTTTTTTTTTGCTTTTTTTTTAATGCCCCCGATGGACCACGGATCAGATATCAAACTGATTGGAACAGATACTACACTAGACGAGTCAAACGCCGCATAGCAGTAGCGGCAGGAAAGGATTCGCAAATTGTATCTAGACGAGAGTGGAAGGTGGTTTGCTGACTTTGCTCTTTTCTTTATTCTTTGTTGGAGCTCCTGCGGGAGCAGACGCTAGAACATAACAATTGCTATCGGGATCCATAAATTGCAACTGACATGTGATCATGGGAAGCTGGGCCCGGTTCCCAGCACCAAAAGGAAAGAAAGAAAGTGTGAGGAACAAGCCCTCAAAGGGGCCCTATCAGACATCACATTGTTCCGGGCTAAGGCCCCCAGCAAGCCAAAGTGCCCGCCCTAAGTGAAGGCGGGCCTGAATATTCGTCAGAGGCAAAATTCGACATTTCCATATGTGGGTATTCAGGCTCTCGCAGCAAGCCAGTTGGTTGGGTAGACGCGTGAGCCTCACATTTCTGCGTCATACAGTTGGCCCAGGCCTTGACAGTTGCACCTGGGCACACATACACAAAGCAGGGCCGATACATTGGGAAGCAGGCCTTCGGCCTTGGCAAAAGCAGTAGTGCCAACGCATCTGCCTGGGAGCCCTGCACAGATGCAGCAAACAGCCCAAGTCCAGAGACTCAGGCCGTGCCTAACTGTAAAGGGCCCAGGCCATCAACTGTAGTCTCGAGCCTGGGCGCAGGGTCTGGGACCCAACCGGAAGCTACTGAAAGCTTCCAGCCAGGCCACACGCAGCATCCAGGAGGCTGCCACATCCACAAAAGGAGTGAGGCAGCCCAGGCCAGGCATTCTGGCCAGTGCTGGCAATGCGGAAGTGCTGCTGCGCTCTTGCTTGATGCTGCGCTGATGCCAAGGGCGCTGACGGGGCGCGTAGAGGTGAAGTGGGGCGCTGCAGGGCAGCGGGGCGCAGGCGGCCATAGCCGGGCTGCTGGGCGCCAGGGGTTAATGCAGGGCGATTGAGTGGTCTTCAGGGAAGGATGCGAGTGTGGGGTAATCAAGGTCTGATTGAGGGTGACGAGATACGTACCTGGTACATGAAGAGAGGTCGGCGATGGTGTTGGCAGTCATGTACATTGGTCTTCGTGAGTCGAAGTGATCCTGTTGCGTGAACCTGCTGTAGGTAGGATAGTCGGGTAGAGTAGGCTGGGCGCTGAGCGCCAGACAGAGCAGAGCGACTTTGGATACTGTGTTGGTGTGGCCTACGGGCTTGAACATTGGCTCATTACTTCATTGTATTGCTCTATATGGATGGTTTTCTCGGTGCATTTGTACTCTCTGCTTGGGACACGACTACTTGGACAGCTGTGTGATTTCGCAATTTGGTTTTATGTATATCGCTCACACTCATATTCCTTGCAAAAGAAAGAAAGAGGTGGTTTGCTCTGCTGTTTATAGTTCGTTCCAATACACATGTTGACGCAGTCCATGTTGCGATACATCGACTTGTATTGCATGCTCTTTGTCTTTTTGGTGTGACATCTCCACGTACTCAAAACAGCGACGAGGGCAAAAAAAAAAAAAAAAAAGCTTGCCGAAGTTGCCGGTAATAAGCAACCAGACTGTTGCCCCCCAGAATAGAAGGGGTGTGGTTTTACCGGGAAAAAAAAAAAAAAAAAAGAGGTTGCACAAACCTTTTCTCTCCTCTTCGTGCTCGCGTCTCATCTCCTCATACCTCGCCAATTGCTTAGCATGCTCTTCAGCCAACCTGGCAGCAAACAGTCAGTAACTGAGTAAAGCAGATTTTGTTTTTTTTTTTTAATTCTCTTCAGATTTCTTTGCATTGAAAGCAGAAAAAGTTCAAAAGACAATTAAAAAAAAAGTAAAAAAGTCCAGATCGTAGTAGAGGTTGGATGCTAGGCTTTGGGAGGTGCCTGTTGTCCTACTCAACCACTGGGAAGATCAGTATCCATCAATATCCTTGTAGATACCCCACTCCTTCTCCGGGCATCTCCCCACGTCCACGTCAGCAAACAGTATCCCAGAAACGAGTCTGACAAGATCTGATCACATCATAGTGCCACGTAGGCACAGATCTTCAATGAAGACGTCACTTCAGCTCGCAATGTCGACAGTATCAACAGGTGAGTTTCCCTCTCTCTCTCTCTCTCTCTCTCTCTCTCTCTCTCTCTCTCTCTCTCTCTCTCTCTCTCTCTCTCTCTCTCTCTCTCNTTTCTCGGTGCATTTGTACTCTCTGCTTGGGACACGACTACTTGGACAGCTGTGTGATTTCGCAATTTGGTTTTATGTATATCGCTCACACTCATATTCCTTGCAAAAGAAAGAAAGAGGTGGTTTGCTCTGCTGTTTATAGTTCGTTCCAATACACATGTTGACGCAGTCCATGTTGCGATACATCGACTTGTATTGCATGCTCTTTGTCTTTTTGGTGTGACATCTCCACGTACTCAAAACAGCGACGAGGGCAAAAAAAAAAAAAAAAAAGCTTGCCGAAGTTGCCGGTAATAAGCAACCAGACTGTTGCCCCCCAGAATAGAAGGGGTGTGGTTTTACCGGGAAAAAAAAAAAAAAAAAAGAGGTTGCACAAACCTTTTCTCTCCTCTTCGTGCTCGCGTCTCATCTCCTCATACCTCGCCAATTGCTTAGCATGCTCTTCAGCCAACCTGGCAGCAAACAGTCAGTAACTGAGTAAAGCAGATTTTGTTTTTTTTTTTTAATTCTCTTCAGATTTCTTTGCATTGAAAGCAGAAAAAGTTCAAAAGACAATTAAAAAAAAAGTAAAAAAGTCCAGATCGTAGTAGAGGTTGGATGCTAGGCTTTGGGAGGTGCCTGTTGTCCTACTCAACCACTGGGAAGATCAGTATCCATCAATATCCTTGTAGATACCCCACTCCTTCTCCGGGCATCTCCCCACGTCCACGTCAGCAAACAGTATCCCAGAAACGAGTCTGACAAGATCTGATCACATCATAGTGCCACGTAGGCACAGATCTTCAATGATGATTCCTCTACGGCATCTGTTCGCTAAAGTATCAACATCCACTCTTCCCTCTCTCTCTCTCTCTCTCTCTCTCTCTCTCTCTCTCTCTCTCTCTCTCTCTCTCTCTCTCTCTCTCTCTCTCTCTCTCTCCATCAATCCCATAGTTCCTGATCTCCCTCCTTGTCGAATCCCCAATCTGTGTCGAAGACAGTGTGGCATGCGCCATGTCAGCAATGTCAAAGACAGCATGGCCAGTGCCATGTCAGCAACCAAGTAGACAGCTGGCGCCCAAAAGCAGAGAGGCACCAGACGCAATGCAGCAGTCTCACGTCGTCATCGCACAATGCCAGCACAGTGCCAGCGTCTTGCCCGCATCAAGACAGCGTCCAGCCAGCGCCGTGTCAGCGTCAAGCAGCAAGTGCAAGACTGAAAGTTGGCCCCCAGGGGCTGGGAACTGACATTTCGTTAAAACTGACATTTTTTTCTAAATTCACGAAATTGAGCGTACCAAAAAACAACATTTTTTAGTGTTTTTTTGTCCCGATGATGTCGGATGATCAGATCATCGGGTGTCGTGGCGACTCCCGATGATCTGACCATAGGATGTACGTTAACGGTACTTTACGTTGAGGTAGATCAGATAGACAAAGTGAGATAACCACTTTCTCACCCGATGAGCAATGAAAGTTTGACTAAGTCCACTTTCGTGAATTTAGAAAAAAATGTCAGTTTTAACGAAATGTCAGTTTTAACGAAATGTCAGTTTGGGTCAATAAATACTAAATAGTGTTGACGCTGTTGACTAGCCTCTGGTCTCTCACGTACAAAGGCTCAGATTGACTCACAGCCGATGGCCTGGATCGCGTACAGTTGCAGACTTCCACTTGGACCAAATGCTGCCTGGATACCTGCATACAACCAAGTGTGTGTATCTGATCGGTGGCCTGGACTGGGTCTGTGCAGACTTTGACTCGTGAGACTCGATATTCCGAGTTACAGTTGACTTCGGTCAACTGTTGGGCACAGGGCCTCTGAAGCCTCGTTTCAGGGGCCTTGTTTCTCACAGTCGGAGGCAGGGCCTTGTAGAGGCCGAGCTGTGGCCTGTGGGTCGCACCCTTGGCCGACGACATAGGCATATTTGAGTGGATTATTGCAATAATAATAACCAATTATTAACATTATGAGTTTCAATGTCAGTCTAGATATGAATGAGCTCCTGCAGTGCATGGTATAAACTGTGTGGTCGTTACTTCAGGTGGTTGGGTGTGTGTGACTGGGTACACCGCGACGCGATGGAATCCGTGCTAATTGGGGTGGGGTGAAGTAGACTGAAAGGGGCTTCACCTTCTTCACCTGAGTCCACTTAAACATTTGGTTGAGTCACTTGAGTGTTTGCCTCCCAAGTGGGAGGTCGCGTGTTCGATACTTGTGGTCGACTCGTGGAGATGCTTTCACTGTATAATAATATTACCACTTCAAAAGAACAAAAAAAAACTTTGAATTATTTATAAAGGCTACCAGAGTGGCCCGGGACCACTTATCCGGCCGGGCCAAAAAAAAAAAAAGTAAAAAAAAAAAAAAAAAGAATAATTTTCCTAGGCTACCAGCCGG